GGGGGGCACTTCTCTCGGGGCCCCCCCCGAGCCCCCCCCCCCGTGGAGGCACACGGCCATCGCTCAACTGTCGTGCGGCGTCAGCGCCCCGAGCGCTCGCGCGGATGTTCATCTACAATGGGCGCCGGAGATTAACCTAACGTGACCGAATGAATAATTTATTTGGCTTATTTAAGTTCTCGCCGAGCGAGAGAGATTCGCGGATTCATCAGCGGAGCGAGTGGGACATTCAAAAGCAGCCCCAAGCTTCATGTGTGTATTCGTTATTTTGTTCAGTAATGTTGTGAATGAGTCGAGCTCGTTGGTTCAGCGCATTCATGCGGCGTAGACTCGGTTCACGGCCCCGGCCGCTGAAATTTTTTAAACCGCGCTTCTCAACGTTCACAGTCATATCAGTGGGGGTGGGGGGGAGGTTCGTTTCAATCCACTATGTTATTTTCTCATTAATCACGCCGCCATTCACTTGCAAAACCCAGCGAAGGACAGTTTCTGTTCAAGATTCATGAATCGTAGTGCGTTCTAGTGAACGTCGCAGACCAGCGAGCATTCGTGACGCCCCCGTGGGGGTTCCAGGATGGGTCTTGAACTTGTTCTCCATGGCCACCCAGCCCTCCACAACCCCCCCCCCCCCCATCTCTCCACACCCCCCATCCCTCCACACCCCCCCATCCCTCCATGCACCCCCCTTCCCGCTTCCCCCTCCTCCCTTGCTACCAAGGAGCATGCTCGAATCCGCTATGGATTACTCTGACAACCTTAATCCTGCAGTGATCACAGAGCAGCTCTTAAATTACCCGAAGCAGTGACGAGAGGGAGGCTTTATGATTGGTATACATTGCCGTCTGCTGTCTGATTTCTTTTTCAATTGTGGACAATAATAATAATAATGACGATGACCATGAAATCCGATTCACAGCTTGTTGTTGATCTACGGTGGAACAAAGGCCTTTTTAAGCTGCGGGGCTTTGTGTGACCAAATTGCACCACTCCGTTCAGTCGCATGTTGGCGAAGGCTTAGAATGGGGTGGCCGGTTTAAGGCTCACGGTCGGTTCGTATATCGCCAACGTTAGCATCGGCCGGCAATCAAACTCAGGCCCGCTGGGTCCGCAGTGCAGCGCCGCTAACTCACCAATGTGCCACTGCTGCACGCGGACACACGAGTGCACACAGCCATTCCTGTTCCCGCACGTGATGGCAGTGCGTTCAGAAGCTGAATGCCAATGATATCCAGGTTTGCTCTCTAGGGCTTCAGGAGAGAAGGAGTTTGTGTAGTTGAGCTCCTGCTCCTCCGTTGTGGGAACGCAGACTGCAGTGGTTTACTCTACAGTTCATAGTATGGCTTGCATGGACACAATCACACTGTGGCTTGTATTTAATGTATATTTATGTACACCTATGGGTCTCTGTGCATCTCTTTGTGTCTCTGATTTGTCTGAATAGATCTACTAAATCGTCCATGGTTTGGGATTCATGACCACAGTAGCACTCCTCCGCCATTAATTTTCCATGCATGAGGGAGGTGTGTACATCTGCCTGTTGATGTTCTGATGTGGTTGATGATTCAACCACCAGCGTCTCTCGAGCAACGTCAAAGCCAGGAGTTGCGGCTATATTTTGGCCACTGCATTGTGGCAATAATAAAGGTTTTTTTTGTTGGGTTAGATCGCGTAAATATAAATTTGTCGTTCACCCACCACCGCCCGATACAGACAATTTGTAAGATTTGTCACGCAAACAAAACGTGACAATTGTTACTCCTTCATGACACCGCTGTGTTTGAGAGTAAACTCACGAAATTTTTCATTTTACTACCGTGACGTTTTCGCTGGTGATTGCAACCAGCTTCATCAGGCGATTTGCCAGAGTTGACTTGCCACAACTCTGGCTGAAGTAGTGACTAATTGGCACGTTTTGTTTACGCAACAAACACGACTAATTTAGCCGTATTCTTAGTTTTTTCGGTAAAGTCACGTTGAAGAGAAACAACAAAATAATAAAATATATAAAACAATAACAAAAATTCATTGTTTTATATATTTAAAAAATTTTTATTGTTTTATATATTTTATTATTTTGTTGTTTCTCTTCAACGTGATATAAAACAATAAAAAAATGTATTGTTTTATATATTTTATTATTTTGTTGTTTCTCTTCAACGTGACTTTACCGAAAAAACTAAGAATATGAATTACTGCAGTCACGAAAGCTTTAAATCAAAATTTAATTTAGCCGTGTCGAGTGGTGGCGGGGTTAACGACACATTTATATTTACGCGATCTATCCCCCCACAAAAAAAAACGTTATCATGGATTATATTGGTTTGCTAAAAAGCCTTACTACGTGTTAAACTGACATTGTGACGAATATAGTGGCCACTAAAAAAAAACACACACACAAAGCGGTAGACTCTGGAAGGCCGCTAATCGAGGCAATTCTTCGGATTGCGAGAGGGCGGAAAACGCCGTCGCCTGCGGCCATTTCCCGCCGTCCCGGATGCCGGGCACCTGGGGACAACTGCAGCGGTGTTCCGCTTTTACGTGGGCGGCGATGATGGGACATTAAGGTAGCGGAAATGCGGAGAGAAGAAGCACATCGCGGCGGGGAGTGGGCTAAGCGGGAGGCTAATGTTCGCTTGGGGTCCCCGGGGGGTGAGGCAGGCGGGGGGAGGAGACAGCCCCCGCACCCCGGGGCTGTGCGACGGACAGGTGAAGCATGAACGCGGGCCCTGCTGGAGCCTGGAGGGTGCTGCGCAGGATGGATGGTGCCACACCACTGCCACTAATTGTCTCAACGTGTAAAATTAAGGATTTGGTGAAACGATCACTCCAAATATTCCACGCGGGCGCGCAGTGCACGTGCGCGGGTACGTGTGAAGAGTTGGCACAGTAGTGGGCACAGGTGGTGCATCGGCCAGTCGTCTCAGTCAGTCGACCCGCGGCACCTCTGGGTCTGCCCCGTGACCTCCTGCCAGCGGGAGTTCGACACTTCACGTGACCTGAACGTGCACTAAGCCTGGCACAGACGCCGTGGTGACGTCACTGCCACTCAGTGGCGAATGGCGGTTGTTGTGTGAAGAGTAGGTGCTCGCAAACAGCACTTGCCCCAAAAGTCTGTTAAGGCTACACGGGGATCTTTGTCTTGTGTGAAGAGCAGCCGTGACGCTTCCCGTCCCGGCTTGGGGCCACGCTCGTAGCGAGCGACGCGGCCACCCTGACCACGGAGGAGCCGTCCGCTCGGGGCTCGTTATTGACGGCGATTTGTTGAGACGTCTCAAACAGCCTCTTCCCACTCGCAGGCGTTCTCTCGATTAACCTCACTGGCCGCGCTCGGCACTCGCGGACCCTTTCGTATTTTGCCGCTTCCCACGAGAAGGCCGCCGCAAACAAACGGGGCTGCCACCGGTCGCTATCGGCGGTGCCGCCGAGGCAATCTCCCGAGAGTCGCCGAACGTTGCCGACGTCGTGGGCGCGACGTGTGAGCGCGTGCCGCCTCTGCGTGTATTTCGTGGTCACATCTGTTTGTTTTTCTTCCGCCCCAAGCGGCAATATTTCTGGTGAGAATCGTTGTCGTCGCCTTTGGGCAAGGGCCCAACGGGTCCCCAGAGTGTATAGGTCACAAGCCCTCTCCATACATGGGGCTCCCAGAGGCATGTGGCAGCAGTGAAACGTTGATAACTGAATTGTACTGATGAGCCCTGATGATGTTGAGTCAGCGGTTCTAAACGACACAGTGGCCCCAAGCGTTTCAGTTGGGTATTATCTTAGCTGGTGATCTGGATGAGGCTGGTAAGCTCTTCAAACAATGCGACGCCGGGCACCTTTCTCTGTTGACAAATTCACCGCGGTTGAATCTGAATCTGCCCGCGGCCTCGGCGGTGGCTCGCCGACCCTCGCGCGGAGCCGTCGCAGGGCTTTCAAACTCGGGTGTCACTTTTATTTTCTTTATTTCAGATTCCCGACGCATTCAGCTACAAAGAAATTATTTCTGAATCAGATTTTCCGTACCGCCTTTTGCAAGAACACCGCACCGGCCACTCCATCCCATCTAAGCCACTGGCCATGCGGTATGGTGCCAAACATTCATGCCTCAAAAATATGTTTTATATCTGTCTATTCTAGCTATGCAGGTCATTAAATGTAAATATAACGGAGACGTATTTTTCCATTCAGAACTCTCGCAATAAGCAGTGCATCACGATGCGTTCGCTAACGGCTCCCGTGGAAGCAGATTTCACAGAACTGCTTTTGAAATCCTTTCAAAATTACCTTTGTTGTGAACACGCAATCCCCCTATGGCCCCGCGAGTGGGAAATGTTTCCCGCACGGCAGTCAAAATAAAAACAATAACGCTTTCAATCCTCAGGACCCGGAGTGTGATGCCAGACGAAGCGACAGCCCCAACTTGGACTCGATGGTTTTGCGCGTGGAGCCTTTTGGCGGGAGTGGGCTGAGACGTGAGCCCGCTCGTTGTTTGCGCTCCGTGCTCGCCGTGTATTTTCACTTAAAGCCAATTGACCCTTTCCCCGTTCCGAGATGTCTGCAAGTTGCAGAGTGGGTCACGTTCACCGCTGAATCTCCTAACGCGTGCACGCGGTTAGCGTAAATTTTATTAAGCAAGGCGTAGCCGCGCCATTGTTTTTAAAGATATTATACTCACCACAGAGAGCCGGAGCGACACGACCACACTCGATGATAGTTGGCGCCAGACTGTGCCACATGACCTCTAGCACGGCCTTTTACTTCCGATTTCATTTGGAATCGATTCCGTTCCGATGACGTAAACGTACACAATCGGAACGGAAATGGCAAGAAAAACGAATAACGTACGCGCACGTACACATACGCGTACGTGAACTTGTCCCGGGCCTCCCCCAGGTCGACTCAGCCTTAAACGAGTACGTGCACGTACACGTACGTCATCGGAAGGGGAAACGGTTAAGAGCCGCGCTTCCATTCTGACCATCGTTCATTCTCACGACGCCTCCTCTCCCCGGGCCCAGGCCTCCGCCGGAGGAGATGACGCAGCAGATGCGCGACCTGCAGTTCAGCTCGCCGGCGGGGGGATGTGGACCAGTGGCATCGACCGTGGCACCGGCAACGAGCGGCGGCGGCGGCGGCGCCGGTGGCCCGTTAAACCTGGCGCCGCAGGCGGCGCGGCGTTCCGACGGAGCCTCCCCGAGCGCCGCCAAGCGCTTGTACCGCAACCTCTCGGACAAGCTGCGCGGCGCCGGCGGCGGCGGCGGCGGCTCGGATGAGGCGTGCGCGGTGCACACGCGGTCCGAGAGGGACCGGCAGCAGCGCAAGTCGGCGTCGCTGGTGAGCGGGTGCGGCGCACAGATCCCGCTGGAGCGCAACCACGGACGCCGCGCCGCGCCGCGCCGCGACAAGCGCTGCGCCACCCGAGTGCCATGGCCGCTCGGGCCCCATGCCGGTGACGATCTTCCCGGGCCTCGCTTATGTCGACTGAGCCTCGAATATGTTACCCGGTGAAATGCGTACAAACGTTAACACTGGGGAGACAAAGGCGGCCGGGGCATGTTGCTGGCCACCGGCCGGTGGCCCTCGTGTGCAGTGCCACGGCCCTCATAGGTGCTGCCCGTTAGCAGTACTTGCCCCTACAGCCTGGGTAGGCTATACGGGGGATCTTTGTCTTCGTGTTCTGGACTTGTTTGCCATGCCCGGCTTCACAGTTGGTACTCGCTAACAGCACTTGCCCGAAAAGTTACATGACGAATAATCGGGAGATCTGCGCCTTTGCCTTCACGTGACCCTTTGACCCCCGTCCCCCCCGTCCCCCCGTCCCCCCCGCGGCGTGCGCCGCTAGCCGAACCTGCAGTGTGGCGAGGCGCTGCTGGCGGCCGTGGAGCAGCAGGACATGGAGGGCGTGCGGCTGCTGCTCGACCGCTTCTCTCCCGACGAGCTGGACCTGAACACGCCCAACAGCGAGGGCCTCGTTCCGCTCGACATCGCCAGCATGACCAACAACGTGCCCATGGCGCGCATGCTGCTGCGTGCCGGCGCCCGCGAGAGCCCGCACTGTGAGGCCCCCGGCGCGACGCCGCGTCGGCAACGTGCGCCACTCGCACGCACGCACGTGCCACTCGCACGCACGCGTGGACTCGCACGCACGCGCCACTCGCACGCACGCGCCACTCGCACGCACGCGCCACTCGCACACACGCGTGGACTCGCACACACGCGCCACTCTCTCGCACGCACGCGCCACTCGCACGCACGCGCACAGCCGTGGCCCCGAACCGAACTCTTCAGCTCGACACCAACTCTTCACTTGAGACATCAGTCTAACACGCAGTCTCAGCGTTATGCAAATTCTCACTCTGCCCATAACCGTAACTAAACTTTAAACCCAACTACGTTTTTATATTTTACTCGGTAGTGCCCACTGAGCTATAGAGCACTTTTTCAGAAGTGACTTGGCCTGAAATCAGAATCAGAATATTTATACTGGAAGATGTCCAGTAGAGCCTGGTCTGAACGTTACAACAACAAACAATACAAAACACGATAGGAATGCCAAGTATAGGGAATGTTATACAAATCACCGAAATAAATATTGAAATAAAACTAAACTATATTTTATATTTTACCAGGTAAGGCCCACTTAGCTATAGAACTCTTTTTCAGAAGCGACCTGGCCACAAATGATTGCTCAATTAAGTGGCTTATCACGTGGAAGTGTATCGCGGTCAAACACTCTAAATCCAAGTTTATTCTAAATGAGCATGGAGAAAAACTGGAGGGCCCGGAGAAAATCCGCGTGACCACGGGGAGAGAGACACCACAAACTTCAAATATAGAGCAGGTATCAGGGTCACGATCGAAACCCCTGGCCTTCTGTATACCACGGCAGGTAGTTAACATCTCGCCAACTTTACTTGAGGGATCAGTCCCAACACGTGCTCTCACCGTTATGCCAAATCTCACTCTGCCCATAACCACAACTCTCACTATAACTCCAACCCAAATTCTGACTCTGAACCCGACCTGTGATTCTGACTCCTCTCTCCCAACACCCATAATGCATCGACAAATTGAGAAACTTTTTTGCTCATCCGGCTGCCGCTCACCCTGAGAAGTTTTTGTCGCCTGAGCACAGACAGACGGACGGACGCGCTCACACGTCCGACAATTATCGTGCGGAATTCCCTAAGGGCTGTTTCTGAGCAGAGGCAACCGGGTAGCTACGGCAGTATTGATGAAGAGCTCTGTTGCAACCTTTGATTTCGGTTTTTTTTAAAAAAAATCACCACTTCAATTGTTCACTCCGCCGATCTTATGATTTTTTTTTAGAAGGTTTAGAACTTTATATTCTTTAACATGTTCTTGTCGAGAGTTGGGAATAGTTTTGGAAATTAAAGGAGAATCAGACAACCGTGTGTGGAGGGGTGGAGTCTTCGGGTGCGAGGGAGGGGGAAGCTCCATTCGTAAACTTTCAAGTTGCTTTCGTAACAAGTACGAGTCACGTGTTATAACTCTGAATAGGCAAATCGTCGAGATTTCTAATTGGCGACTCTGCGCCCCAATTTCACATTGCCGCTGGCCACTAGGGAGTGGCCACGGTGCAGGGCCAGCCACCCTGTTTGCGTGTCGCGAACAGGGTGGCTGGCCCTGCACCGTGGCCACTAGGGAGTGGCCACGGTGCAGGGCCAGCCACCCTGTCCGCGTGCCGCGCCGGCCTTCCGTGGCTGCGCGCGGTACCGGCGCTCGCTCCCGACGGCCCGCTAACGGCTACGTGCGCGTGCCTGCGTGTGTGCAGTCGTGAGCCTGGAGAGCCGGGCACAGCACCTGAGCGCGCTGGCGCGCGAGGCGGAGCAGCGTGTCGGGGATCTGGCGGCGCAGCTCATCAACGAGCCGGCCGGCTGCGACGCGTGCGAGCGCCAGCGCCAGCTCGCCGCCTGGGAGTGGCGCCACCGCCTCTACAAGCGCATGCAGACCGGCTTCGAGCACGCGCGTCAGTATGCCTGCCGCGCCGCGATGGGTCGCGCGGGGGGGGGGGGCGGGGGGCAGGGTGGGGAACTCGTCCTGCTACGGGGGGCGCGTCGCGTTCGCGTCCGCGGGGCGATGCGGGAGAGCGTCCGAGGTGGCGTCCCCCGTGGCTTGTGCCATCAGTGCGGAGCAGCAGGCGACCGAGCGCGCCGGGTGCCGCGTGCCACGTGTGGGTGGTTTTGACCGTCTCTCGTGACGGATCGAGAACCACCCGTGCTGGGCTATCACCCTGGTGCGTTGCCATGGTGATCCACCCGTGCTGGGCTATCGCCTTGATGCGTTGCCGTGGTGATCCACCCGTGCTGGGCTATCACCCTGGTGCGTTGCCATGGTGATCCACCCGTGCTGGACTATCGCCTTGATGCGTCACCGTGGCGATCCACCCGTGCTGGGCTATCACCTTGATGCGTCGCCGTGGCGATCCACCCGTGCTGGGCTATCACCCTGATGCGTTACCGTGGTGATCCTGCACTGAAGCTGCCATCTGTTGGCTGGGGACTGTAGATTCACCCACTTGGATGATTCCGTGAATTATTGCTACCGGGTGGAGCAGTGACGCACTGGTTCGTCTACTTCATTACAAACTCCAGCCACCACAGTTTGATTCCAGACCCTGGCCAATATCAGTGACAGAGTGGTATTTGAGCCGGTGCTGGGCCTTCCGTTATTCAACGTACGAACTGCCAGCGTGCTCACGTACGGTCACAAACCCCGAGGACCGGCATGACGTGGAGAGGCCTTCATCTAGCGGCGGATTGACAAATCACTGCAAATATTGAGTTAATATCGTTTTCGTCATTGTTGTAATAGTGATTTGAAAGTTAGCAGCGGTGGAATTTCACGCTAGAACGGGCACCCTGCTGCATTCACGAACCGGGCTGGTGGTTCTGCGTCGACTCGGCAGTCGTTCATGAGCGGCTGACATTCCTTGCTATTGAAAACTCAAACCACTCTCCGTGTTTTGAGGCAGCGTAGCCTTTAAAAGGTTTTTTTTTTCTCCAACAAAAATAACTTTGGAGGGCAACCGGCGTATCCTGCAAGCTCTCCGTTGTGCGCACTCCAGCTCAGAGTGTCCTCTTGCGCCAAACGTTGGCCAGCGCCCATCATCAAGTCAAAAGCGACCGGCTTGCATCTGGCAAACCTTGACCCCGGGGCCATCTACAATTCTGGCAGTTTGTGGTCGTGATGCAGCAGCCTGGAACCATAAATTGAGTTTTTTGCTAAAAGATGAGATGGCGGTCGGTATTGAAGCAAACGCGACAAGTGGAAGAAGAATTGTGGTTCTGGGGTATTCATCGTAGATATCTGGACAGACTGGGAATGTGGATGCAAGTGGAACTTTGTGTGGCAATGTACATGATTCCGGGGGGTGGTGTGAGAGAGAAGTCGTCAATAGACTCTGGCCGCGATTATTGCCCTGCATTTTTGGGGGTCGTAACAGCGATTGTTTCCGGCAGTTTCCACCAAAACAATAATCTCATGAACACTAAAGTACACGTAGCTGGGAATTATGGGCCAGTGCAGCTACTAGCTTGGCTGTGATGTAAAACTTATTCAAATTTAAATTTGTTTGACCAGGTAAGGCCCACTAAACTATATAGCTCTTTTTCAGAAGCGACCTGGCCACAAATAGTAGCTCAACAAAGTGGTGTATCACGTGGAAATATTATAAAAAGCAAAGACTCTAAACACACATATTGATCATAAATGTGGAGGGAAAAACCCGTAGGAGCTGGAGAAAAATCCTCACGACCACGGGGAGAACATGCCAACTTCAAATATACAAGGCATCAAGGTTCAGATTGAACCCACGACCACCTGTTCACCGGGCGAGGCACTTAACATCACGCCTCCACCGCACGAATTGTCTCCACCCCCTCATGTGATTGGCTGGTGGTTAATGTGCGGAAGAAGTGCCATCGACGTGACCGGCTGAATATGGATTCCGGATGAGAGTCTGGTTTTGTGCCTAAGCCGGTAAACGGGAGGATGTCCCAGCATGGTGGATGTGACTCGTATTCTGTTTGCACGGCGTTTTTATCGGTGGACTGCATAGACCACTAAAGAAGGGGAAGGATGTTGACTTTGTGACACTAAAAGTTCGGTATATATACGGCTGACTTATGATCCGGGTGACGTTACGAGCGAGAGAGCTGACGTTTAACAGAGAAACTGGAAAAAATATCCTTCACGCCCCGTTTGCATGATGAAGAAGAGGAGAATTTGAGGGCGGCGGGATAGGGAAAGCAACTTGGGAGGTTTGCGAAGGAACTCAACGGCAGAGCGTTCTGAACATAGTCGTGCAAAAGCAGGGCCAAGGAGCGCAGCTTGAAGGGGAGATAGGGGGGAGCTAACCGAGGTGGGCATTGGAGAGGTCGCCCCGGAGGTCAGCGACCGCTTGAAACCCCGACGGTCCATGTGGCAGGAGCAGCGGCGAGGTTTGGTGGCAGTAGCGGGAATGAAGGGGCGCCAAGGTGGCGAGATGTTAACTCCCTCGCCTGTTGTGCAGGAGGGCGTGGGTTCGATCCCGACCATGTCGCCTGCTGCTGTATATTTGGAGTTTGCGTGTCTCTCCCTCCCCGTGGTCGCGTGAATTTGTCTCCAGGTCCTCGGGTTTTTCCCTCCACGTTTAGAATCAACATCACCACACATTCAGAGTATTTAACTGCTCCAGATTTCCACATGATGATAAGCCACTTCGTTTGAGCTATCATTTGTGGTAGCCCAGGCCGCTTCTAGAAAAAAGAGCGATATAGCATCAGTGGGCCTTACCTCGTGAAATGAAAAAAATAGTTTAGTTTATGATCTGGGGCTGTGACGCGGCCCAACAGTTCACCACTCATTGCAGACGGCCACTGTTCAGACGATTCAACTCCCGACCTGCAGCGACGTTTAATTCCCTGAGTGCCGACGTCATGGGTCCAATTTTTTCCAATTTTTATAAACCACCCGCAAATTACTCTGTTGGAAAACGCACAGCAATCATGGCCCACTCACATCCCCCCACCCCACCTACAGACCCTCGTGAGAAAAGAGGCAGGGGGCTCGGCCAGGCTTTGCTGGGCAAACAACCGCGATAATAAATACATAAAAATAACAACAACAACAAATTGAGTGACCGCGATCTCGCAATGTTGTGATGGCCGTGCGTGCAGGAACCCCAGATGCCCCCACGCACGTGCAGCTGTGCGTGACGGGGAGCCACACGCTGGCCGTCTCGTTCCAGGAGCCGCTGCTCATCAACGCCGCCATCGTCACCAAGTACAAAGGTGAGCGGCGGTGGCGGTGGTGACGGTGGTGGTGGCGGTAGCGGCGGTGGTGACGGTTGTGGTGGTGATGGCGGCGGCGGTGGCGGCTGCGGTGGTGGCGGTGATGGTGGGGGAGGTGGTGGCAGTGGTGACGGTGGTGACGGCGGTGACGGTGGTGGCTGCGATGGTGGGGGTGACGGTGGGGGAGGTGGTGGCAGTGGTGACGGTGGTGACGGCGGTGACGGTGGTGGCTGCGATGGTGGGGGTGGTGGTAGCGGTGGTGGTCGTTGTGGCACCATTGCAAGAGCGCAGGCTCCTCAAACGCGGTCCCAAGAGCGTCGCTTCGCAACCGGTGTGGCGGAGTTCCAGCTGGTGTGCCCCGTGATGTTTTCATAAAATTATAGTGGAGGATAGAACCTCGCCGTTTGCCAGCTGGGACAGACGGAACTCTCCTCTTCCTCCTCCGCGCCGTTTAGCGGCCGATCCAGCCCCACCACCCCCCCCCACCCACCGCCTGCCGCCCTCCCCCTCTCTCCACATCGGTCGCGACGCCGTACGGCAGACGGCCGTCAGCCATCGCCGCTGGCCCTCGCAGCTGCCTCGGTCGCGCGGGTGCAGCGGGGATGTTTTGGTTCTCTGTGTCGTGAAGATCGAGAAAGCTCGATGGTGAGTGCTGTGTGAACGCCGCCGGTTGAGAAGCACCAGGCTAGAAGATCACACGCCGTGCGTGCGTGCGCACTCGTTTTGGTGGAGTTGACCCTGCAGGGGCCTGCCGCACCTTAAAATATTGGAGGAAGTAGCCAATATAGCTCAGTGGGCCTTGCCTGGCAATATACAAAAAAACATCGTTTTTAGTTCAGTGTGCCGGCGTCAGGATACGCATTTGCCTGATTCGTAAAATGACACCGCAAATGACTTGATTGGGATTGTACACGGAGCAGCGCTCATAGTCCGCTTTCTCACAGACCAATGCCCCAGGTCACCCTTGCAAATGAGTTCTCTCCGAGTTAAACAAAGTCAGCTTGAAATTCGAAGGCCCCAGGTCTTCTCTTCACCGTCCATTCCCAATTTGAGACAATGGCAAGAAAGAATGTTAAAAAAACTTCCTTCATTTGGAGAAAGAAAGAAAATAACCCCAATAAAATACTGGGGCTTTTAGATTATATCATAAACAATTGTCCCCATCTTCCAGGCACTGCACAGCTGCTGGAAATTATAGCCTAACGAAGTCTCATCGCTCTCCTGAACATTTGTTCTCATTGATTTTTTTTTTCTCTCGTCTTTGTCAAACCCATTTAGAATCTGACGAGCTGCAAACACGCACGCGCACGCTTTGTTTGCGCCAGATTTTATCCACATGTTACCTCTAGCGATCCATGCGTTGTTGCGGGCGCGGTCACATGAAACCCACTCGTGGATTGGCGGGCAACGTCGACCGCTTGCTGGAATTGAATTTGGAGTGGCAGTGATAAAGAGCCGTGTCTTGAGATGGTGATGGGTTTGGAGAGTCCTTCGTCCGGCAGTTGAGGGATCATGTCAGATGTTGATGGTGATAAGAGGCAGGGGTGAAGGATCTAGAGTGCCTCATTGCATACACCTCCGTTTTCCAATCAACATAATCATCATGAATATCGTATCCGTTGTAATGATTGACATCATCGTATGCATCCTAACTATAAATAACATATTTTTCGTTGACGATCGACATTAAAACTATTCATCGTCACGCTCATGTATTCACCTCATTGTTGTCGCCATCACCAACATCACCTTCCCGCTAACAGCGGGCCACGCAGTTGTTCTGGCGCTCATTTGGCCTAGTTAATGCTGCCCTAGGAATTTGGGCCCAGCCAGTGAACAGGGCCAGCTCGGTTTGAGATCTGTCGCGAGAACGCATAAATATTCTCAGCCTACGGAGTTTACGTGACAAACCTTACTAATTGGCTGTGTCGGGTGATGGCGTGTTTAGCGACACATTAATATTTACGCGATCTAGCCCCAAAAAACCTCTTATGGATGAAGATGGCCACTGCATCATGCGCTTTTAGATACATTTCTGTCTATCCCTTAGAGATGAACGAGGCCAAACGGACTGAAAACCTGACTTTCATTCAACGGTGTTTTAGGGGAGCATGTGAGAAGGGGAGTAGAGTGAGATGAGAGAGGAGACTACGGTAGGCAGGGGCGAGGAGCATGAACCACCGTCACACGAACTCCGGTAAACCACACAGCAGCGGCTGGCCATCAAACAAAGACGGTCACCGCATCGTGCGAATTCAGATGTGCTTCTGCGGCCATCGGGAACGCTCTTCCTTCCTATATTAGGAAGCCACTGGGAGCTATGCACTTTTGAACCATCGAGATTGAAAACTAATTTCTTTACGACTGCGTTTTGTCCTTCTCCCGCACCTCCGATTAACGCGGTTGGCTACGCACAGTGCAAAAGAAAGTCAACATACATATAGAGGGGTCGGATCATCAATACCCCTAACGCCCTGCTTCACTGATAATAAACCAGGCTTCCAACCGCATCAGGGCCCTGTGTTGCTCACTAGACATGGATTAGTCACACGTAAATAAGGGTTTCCTTGTGGGGCACGGAGAAGCTTTCGCAGATTAAAGATGAGATAAGTTTGTAGTGTGTATGAGGCAGAAATCGTAATGCCTCAGCGGTTCGCGTCTCTGTCAGTTCTTTGCCGTGCGGACCGCTCAGCCGCGAATGCTTCCTCAGCTTTCCTGCCTGACATACCATGGACGAGCTCTCGGCCAAATCTAGGGCGATTGTCGGTTCGGATTTTGCCACTGACCGAGCCAAGACGTTTGGAGCGGCTGCAGGAGACGTTTATCTTAGTCCCGCTGTCATCAGGATGAGGCCCTCTGTGCGTGTACTTGTGCTCCAGCCATTCAGTGTATTTTGTAGCTGACGACAATGACGACAAGGATTAAATATCTGGTAAGTTGCCTTTTTGTTTCCGTACTGCATTAAAACCCAGATCTCCAATGTAGATGCTGCCCCTGTCCTCACCAGGCCCTGTCACAAGGTACAGCCCTTTTGTCGATCCACTGCTGCTGGATGAGGTTCTTCCCCATGCCCTTGTGAGTGGTGAGAGATATTTTTACCGTACTTTCACCATGCTGGGTCAGTGCTGGTTTGCGATGGTGGTGCAGAACAGCAGTACCCTCTAACCACCCACAACGCTTATCCCACCTGTCCTCTGCGCATGATGGTGGTGGCCCCATCTGAGTGCTATCCAGGCTCAGGCCTGCTTGGCTTCTGAGGTCTGCCGAGATCAGGTGGATTCCCGGTGATTTTGCCCTTCTATCGAGCTCTTTGTCGGTCTCACTATAATTGATAGTAATCATGCTATCTGTAAAGCCAAGAAGGCAGCGGTTGTTTGTGTTTTTAATCTCTGTCGTGTCTTTATTCGTACGAACCCAGGTTTTAAGAGCGACACTGTTTGAAATTTAGGTGCCAGAAAAGTAAGGTTTGTACATAATTGAAAATTATTTTGCAGGAAATCACTATGATCGAGCAAAGGTATTGTGCGCCATCCATTTCACAGCCACGTCATTACCGCGCCACCGCCACGTCAATTACCGTTTGCGAAGGCTCAAATCGCGCGGCGATGTATATTTTTTTTGTTCCCCGGAACTTTGGGAGAGAGAGAGAGAGAAAAACATGTTGGCAGGGGCACATACATCGGTGCAATCAACTGTCAAAGCATGCGTCTCCCAGATATGTAATCTGCAGCTGCCAGGGAGACATGCGGGGGATTCTGTAGGGTGGTGTTATTAAGGATTAAGTGTTTGAAGAGGCGGCTTCAGTATCTCTCTACAAGTCATTCCGTGAGCGTGCCTCTTGCCGGCGAATTCTTGCCTCGCAGGAAATATTGCAAACAAAGAACCAGGGGATGGAAAGCATTACAATAAAATCCACGAGGTCGCCGCATTAATAATCAGTTGACAATTTGGCGATAACGGTGTATGTTGATCAACGAGGCAGAGAGGATTGTTGGCCATAGGACGTAGCTCCTGGTGGCTTGCGTGCAGCCCTTTGTAAATCAACTGCTGGATGAAGGCCTCTCCATTGCCGTGCCATCTGTGGGGTTGTTCAATCGTACGGGTGGGGGGGTGAGGAGGGTAGGGGGGGGCGGATCCCAGGACCCGTTCAGATATCACTCGCCACTGACGTTAGCTGTGACCGGGGAATCAGGCTCGGGTAGCCGGGCGCATGGGGCAGTGCTGTAAACCAACTGAGCCTCCATTCGTTCTGCCACCTTGGGGGGGGGGGGGGGGGGGGGGGGGTTCCGGATTCAGTGCATGATGCCCGTGGGTGTCGCGTCCCTTGATTGGCAGCTGGCCCCGCGACCCGTGCAGTCATTAAATCTGTGTGGACAAGCGATGATGATGATGGTGGTGGTGGTGGCGATGGTGGCGAGGGTGGCAACAAATTTGACCATCCTTTGAGGTTGACGAGAGGCCGAGGCATTGTAAAAGCAGGGCCAGTGATTACCTGCCGCCCTCCAAGGTTCGGAAAACGTTGCTTTACAATGATACATTTATTGGTGGAGAAAAGCGACGGATCTCAGCCAAGTGGGCTACTGTGTTACTGTATGGCGCCGATGTTATTTTAAATAGCCGTGGCAAGCAGGCGCGGAGCGGGAGAGATGGCGCGATGCTCCACCGTAAACAATAAAAACAGAATACTCTGTACTCCCCCGACCTCACTCAAAACCGAGCTGGCCATCGTGTGCCAGCGTCACGCTCCAAATTTGAAAAATGAACCCACTAATTACTCAATTGGGATATCACAAAGAGCAACATCGCCTCCCCCCCCCTACGATGTCACTGAAACAAAGCGCCTTTGTGACAGCCTGGCCCTGTAAGAATGACGGCACGAATAGCGAGTGCACTAAACTATCAAGTACATATTCACATTTTCTATCTTTTTGTATTTTTCGCAAGAACGGTCGACGTGTGCCCTGCGTGCCATGGACGTGGGCCCTGCATGCCAGAGACGT